TACCACAGCCCTTCAGAGTCCCGAGAGGCTCCTGGCCTTAAGTGCTCTCAATTCCAGTTTGTCTGGGTCACTGAGTTGCCCACCTCCTGGCATAAAAGTTAAGATGGGGGAGGGCAAACAACATAATGGCTTTGCCTTATGGTTCAAAATTGTCGTTTCATATATAGCCCATTGTCCAGCCTCGGATCACAGCAGCGTGAATGGGCATGTGATCCAGATGAATGAGTCCTTTTCTTATTTGAAGCTGGTGCCTTTGGTTGTACTATTACATTAAATGAGTCTAGGACACAGTCCTCCCCAACATGTCTGTTACTGTTTCTGTGGGGTTGTCAGAAAATGCACAGTACAACCTCTTCCCCTTCCCTTACCCTCCACCGATTTCCTTGTTTAAAAAATTGATGCATTAATTTCTATAGAACCATCGGGGGAATGGAGAGATGGGCTCAGTTCTCTTCCTGGCCTGGCCAGCAGTCTGAAGGAATTCCCCTGTAATGAGCTGCTTCTACTGAACCACACAGGGCTTTCAACCTAATCATCTGGGCTCACCATTGTATTGCTTTAGCCAATTTGACAAGGATGGCCTAATCAGAGACTATTAATCAGAAACTTTCTTTGGCATCTGTCCCACTGGGAGTTGAAATATTCCTGCACGTGTGAAGTTGTCTGGTCTTCAGATGACTTTGTAAGTCACCATGGTCCCAGCAGGGGCAAGAGTCTGCCTCAAGTGAGTGCGTGCTGTCCCCACAGCTTCCAATCTTTTCTTCCTGAACTCCCTGCATGTACTGAGGGTAAATAGCTCATTACTTCTTTGTAGGGAAAATCTGGTTTTGTAGAAGGACCTTGGTGATGGTCCATTCTATATGAGCAAGATTTGGGATTGTTACCATTCTGAGGGGCACAGTGGATAGAGTGCCTAGCCTAGAGTCAGGAAGACTCATCTTCCTGAGTTCAAATCCGGCCTCAGATACTTACTAGCTATGTGACCCTGGGCAAGTCACTTAACTCTGTTTGCCTCAGTTTCCTCATCTATAAAATGAGCTGGAGAAGGAAATGGCAAACCACTGTAGTATCTTTGCCAAGAAAACCCTAAATGAGGTCTTGAGGAATCAGAGGCAACTGAAATGACTGAACAACACAACATTCTGAGGAGGTATTTGTTACTTTGATGACAGGGGATCACATGATTCCAGAGTTGGAAATTTTATCTGTAGAGGATAAAATGCTGGAATTGGGAGAGACTTTAGAATGAAAGTTGTAACAACCTATGTCCCTAACATTCCGTGCTCCAAGGCCCTCTCTTGTTTTTACTATTCTAGGCACTGAGGTGCTTCCCAGTGCTAACTCTCTGATCTAAGGCCCCTTCTAGCTCTGACATTTTATAAATAATACTTTTTTCCTTTTTTCAGAAGTCACATTTTCCATTGTCATCAACTCTCATTGTGTACATCCTGTCCTGTCCATTTGTGTCTATCTACACTTCCTCTCCTCCTCTCCTGCTCTTCCTGGGCAGGGTTGGATTTATCCTTTCAATACCATGTGAATCTGCTTGTCCCAGTAAGCAGGTACCTACAGGTACCCATAGGACTCTCAGAAAAGGACCTCAGTTAGAGGTCCTAAATAAGTAACAATATATATTCTTCTGCTGTTTCATTTTTATTCTCAAATTCAACAGGAACTCAAAAAAAAAAACTTAGGTGAAAGCTTTGCCTTTTTCATATACAAAACCACAAGTATTTCAAAACATTTCGAAGTTTGTTTTGACAGGAACGGAATGTCTCATGAATGAAGGGGTGCTTTAATCAGCTACCCCTTTGAGGTCCCTGTTTTGCTCTGATATTTCTCTGTTTGAAACACAGATTTCTCTGTAAACATACAAGAAAGGTCAGAATTTGTTAGGTTCCTCTTTCGTATTCAGAGCTTTGTCCCCCACTGTGAAAAAGAAAAGTGAGAGATTGGGAAGCCATATTTGGGTGCTGGATTAGAGATTTGCTGGAAGGTGCTGTTGAAACAGAAACAATAAAAGATTCCCTTATCAAATTGTCTATTTTAAGATCAGTCAGTAGTAACTCCTGAGTTTTGTTGGCTTGGGTTCAGACGTTCTGTCAGGCAGTCTTTATTGAATTCCCTCAGGTGACTGGACTAGCTCATGTCTAAGATTTCTCCCAGCACCAACATTCTCTGATCTAACATTCAACACTCACAGGTTCCTTCCATCCCTAACCTTCTTTGTTTTCAAGTCCCTTCTGGTTTTGACATTCTGTGTTCTATGTTCTGTATTCTAACATGCTATATTCTCAGGGCTTTTTCAGCTCTAACATTCTATGTGTTAGGTCTCTTCTAATTTTGACATTCTGTGTTCCATATTCTCAGGGTCCTTCTAGATCTAACATTCTATGTTTCCATCTCCCTTCTGGTTTTGATATTCCGTGTTTTCTGTTCTGTATTCTAACATGCCGTATTGTCAGAGCCCTTCTAGCTCTGCTATCCTATGATTTAAACATAGCTCTAACTAGCTGTGCTGATTATTTATATCAGGTGTTATCTGTAACAGTATTGCAGCTGAACAGTCTTAGTAAAACTCCAAAATCAAGAATGAGAACCAAGTGCATGCCATTCTCAGAAAATTATTATCAAGTTTTTAATACTAGGAAGCCCTCAGAAAAGAATTGTAGTAGCTTGCATATATGTAATGCTTTTGGTGTTGCATGTTGCTTTACAGCTATTATTGTCTTTGAACCTGAATAATCCTGTAAGTTTTGTAAAGCAGGAATGTCCAGAAAATGGATATTACATTCTTTGTAACTATAAAGTACTATATAAAGGTAAATTATTTTTGTTAGGAAGTTCCCCTTAGCCCTCATGTAATATACCTCGTATCTCTCCAGTGCATTTATTTATTGTATGTCTTACTTACCTGTTTGTATGTATTTATCTGTTTGTGTGTTCTAATTCTGTTATGAATATGTAGTCTCCATGAGTACAGCAGTTTGCGTCCTGTCTGAACTTTGTGTCATTCCCAGGGATGAACTTTTGGACCCTCAGCCAATAGGAACTTAATACATATTTGTTGAATTAAATTGAAATGAATCAACTTCATTTTACAAATGAGGAAACTGAGTCCCAGAGAGAGAAAGTGACCTTGCCAGGGTTTCATGGATACTAAGTTGTAGAGCTGGGTTTTGAACCCTGGTTTCAAGATTTCAGATTCAGTCTGCTTCTGAGGTGATGTTACTGGAGGGTCAGGGGAACGGGTAAAGGGTGTTAAAACCCCTTGCATCTGGTAATGGCAATGTCTGATGTATAGCCATCACTGAAATAAAGAAGTTATTGGGTTGAGAACAGAAATACCAACATAGGAACAGTCTCCTAATTTACTGGCCATTGATGGACAAGTTCCCATGACTGCATAGTTTCCTTCTTTCCCATCATACCTGTGGTGTGCTCTGCTCTCTCACAGCATCTCTGCACACTAATGAAACCCGTCTGGAATAGATGGGGGAATTTGTAGCACTGGATGCTGGTTCTTTCCACTTCTAGTGCATGGAGCACAAAGCAACTGAGATGATGCTGATGTCCCAGGATGAGTCTCTGACCTCATTCACACTTGTAACTGTGGCTCAGAGTTGCATGTGGCAGAAGATGAACTTCGGCTTGAATAAACCACTTTCCTTCATATAATGAATTACCCTCTGACTTCCTCTATAGGCTGTGCCTTCTCTGCCACTGACCTGATGGGTCTTTGTCTTGTTAATTGTTTTGACTTTCTAGAAGTAGAAATTCACTTCACACAAATGAAGTATTTCCCAAAAAATTCTCTATGAAAATTCTTTGTTATTTATAAATCTTATCTTAAGTACACAAGGGGAAGCATGCCACGGAAAAGAACTGTGCAGCAAATCTTTTTGTAAAGCGATCCCTCCTGATTCACAAATGCTCATTTGGGTGGTCACAGAGTAGGTTAAAGGCAGGTACTTTTTCTTATATAAACTTTATCTCTTCTCAAGTGTAAAGCATAGTAGGCACTTAATGAATGTCTGCAGAATTGAAAAGACATGTATGTCTGCATGGGGTTTTTTTGTGGGGTTTTCTTCTGTGTGTGTATATATATATATGCATATATATACACAAATATGATATATTCCTGTATATGTATACACACAAAAAATCATTAGTCTCTATACACACACATATATGATATAGAATATTGGGAGGAAGAACAGAACATGGGCTGGTTTGCAGTAGATAAATATACATATGTATGTATATGTATATATACATATAGAGCGAGAGTCATGATTATTTTTATCTTTTAACAAATGAACACACCAGTGGCCAGAAAGGTGAAGATTTGCCCAAATGAATTGTAGAGAGGAAAGAAGGAAGGAAGGCGGGACAAAGGGAGGAAGAGAGAAACAAAGAGGGCTCACCTCTATGTAATTCGTTTTTCAGGAGTAGATTGACGATACAGCCATGCCTGTACTTTCTGCAGGTTTTGCATTTTCTTCTCTCTCCTTGTATCTGCACCCCACCCTCCAGCTTATTTAAAGATCAGATCTGGTACTTCAGCAAAACTCTATAGACTCTCAGGCTGATGGGGAGAACAGGCATCATTTGATGCATATTGTCCATTGGAAAGGGTATCTTTTAATAGTTAATTGATGTTTCTTGGGGAAGGAGGAGAGGAAAATAGAACTGTAGAATGTTAGGGCAGGATGGAATCTTAGAACATTGATTATAAACAATTTTAACACAGAATGTTTGAAAAAAGTTTACACGAGGTAGAGCCTTGGGGTTTGTCGGGTCCAGTGCCCTTATTTTACAGATAAAAAGACTGAGGTGAGAAAGATGATTACTCACCCCGCCCGAGATTAGAACATGTCTTCTGTCTCCCAGTCCTAGTTTTCATCTACTACATTGCTACCTTCCCAGGTTTTGCTGACTTTCTCTTTTGCCAGCAAAAAAGAAAAAAAAGTAAATCTCTTTTCCCTGCTTCATTTCAGTTGGAACACCTTACTACATGTCCCCGGAGAGAATTCATGAAAATGGCTATAACTTTAAGTCTGATATCTGGTCTTTGGGCTGTTTATTGTATGAGGTAAGAAATTTCAGTGATTTAATTTAATATTGTGGGGAACAGTATTTATTTAAGGTAAAGGCTTGGGACAAGACTGATTATTGCCCCCCAAAAAACTATAAGGCATAGAATGTTCAAGCTATAACCGTATGTCAAGAACCAGCTACTTAGCATCAGAGAATTAGATTCCAATCCTGGCTCTGTTCTTTATTACCTGTATGACTTTAGGTAATGACTTAATCTCTTTCAGTATTATTTTCCCCATCTACAAAGTGAGAAGATTGGACTAGATGCTATTTAAGGTAATTCCTAGCTGGATTATCTTGATTGAGGACCATAGAATATAGAATATTGGAAGGAAGGATAAAGCATGGGGCTGTTCAGAAGGTAATGACCAGGCTAGTTTATCTGAAATATAGGATACATGAAGGGGAGTAGTTGGAAATAAGGCTCGAGAGGTAGGGTGGAGGGCTTTGAATGCCATTTTAAGGGTTTTAGATTTAGCTCTACCATGAGTAACTCAATGAGTTGAATGTTCTCATTTGATTAATAAGGAAATCAAGGCACAGAGTAAAAAGGTTACTTGCCCAAGAACATGAGCCTTTTGCTTTCATAGGAATAAGGAGCCACTGAATTTTTTTGAATTTTTTTTACTAGTATAATTACATGACCAGAGCTATTATTTAAGAAGATTAATCAGGCAGCTATTAGGATGGATTAGAAGGGGAAAGACTGAAGGCAGGAAGACTAATTAAGAGGCTGTTGTAAAAGTCTAGATAGAGATAAGTGAAAGGTTGAACTAGGAGATTGTCTTTGGGACTAGGAGATATTGCAAAGGTAGAGTTTATAGGACTGGGAAGCTGATTAGATATTTGAAATAAGAGAGCTAAAAGAGCCAAAGATAATTCTGACATTTTGAGCCTAGGTAGCTGGTGAATAGTGGTATCATTAGAATATTGAGAGAAAGTTAGATGGGTAGCTGATGTGAGGGAGGGTAATGACTTATGAGCTCAGTTTTGGTCACATTTGAGGTACTTGTTTGGCATCCGGGTATAGATATCTAGGAAGTAATTTGAGATGCAGGTGTGGAACTTAGAAGAGAGAACACAAGTAAAGATACAGACTTGGGAGACACACAGCAAGGTGATGGCCAAAGCTTTGGAAAAGCTTGATTTATCTCTATTTTTTTGCCCTTGATAAACTTGCAGAGAGGCAGATCTGGAATTGGAATTAGGGGAAAACTTCCCAACAAAGATAGGGGTCCCCAAATGGAATGGATTTCCTGTTGAGATTCTGAATTTCCCAGCACAAGAGGTCTTCCAATAAAGGCTAGATTGGTGCTTATCAGAGATCTTACAGATATACACATAGGATTCTCGATCAAGTGAAAGATGAAAGAGAAGGAGCGGTAAAGTCCCTTCCAAATTTCAGATTCTGTGAAAAGTGCCAAAGATAGAGCCTTGGAGGACACCTACATTTAGAGAGGAGGAAGAGGATCCAGCAAATGAGATATCACTGTTGTAATCATAGCTAACGTTTATATAGCACTTTCGGTTAGCAAAGCATTTTATATAGTTTATTTCATTTGCTCCTCATAGCAACCTACGAGGTGGGTACCATTATTATCCCCATTTTATAGCTAGGGAAACTGAGGCTAAGAAAGGTTAAATGATGCCCTGGCTCACACAGCTAGTAAGCACCTGAGACAGGATTTGAACCCAGGTCTCCCTGACTCCAAGTCAAAGACTCTGCTGAAGAGAAGTCAGGCTTAGGAGAGCCAGGAGAAAGCAAGGTCATAGAGACTTGAGGGGGAAGAAGAGAGTAGCAACAGAGACAGGATATATAACAGTATCAAGTATTGCAGATAGGTCAAAGGAGATGATGGAGAAAAGGTTCCTGCACTGAATGAAGTCACTGGTAATGTGGATAGCTGTTTTAGTAGTGATGGTGATGGCAGCAAGGTTGCAGAGAGTTCAGGAGTGAGAAGGAGGAGAGAAAGCAAAGCCAATATAAAAGGGAAAAAATAGATCAAAGGGCAGGAGGGTCAAGAGAAGGTTTTAGAATGGTGAGATGAGTATCTTTATAGGCAAATGAGCCTCTGGAGAGGGATAGATGGACCTAGAAATTGAAAAAGAAGGCAATAGTTCAGTCCTTAAAACCTGAATTTCTCACAGGTATTTTGTAATAAGCTGATTGTTTTGTTCCACTATCATAAGTCAGGTACCTTAACTTTTCTGTTCCTAATAGCCTTAATTTGAAGCATGTTGACTTCAGTTAATTTTAAATGGTCCTAAGTTATTCTCTGCAGTGATTCAGGATCCCTGATTTCATTCATTCATTCGTTCATTCATTCATTCACTCCCACCCCAGGAGAATCATAATTCCCTTTTTAATTTTTTCTGAATTTAACAAACACTAAATAAAATGGACATTTTCATAGATTATACATAAAACTGCAAATCTCTAGCTTGCCTTTCCTTTTAAGTATATAATAAATTTTAACACGTAACTTTCAAAGCTGTCCTGCTTTTCTCTTTTTCTTTCTGGCCTTCTGTTTTCTCCTATGCATTTTTTTTTGGCTAGGCAGTGGGGTTAAGTGACTTGCCCAGGGTCACACAGCTAGTGAGTGTTGTGTGTCTGAGGCTAGATTTGAACTCAGGTCCCCCTGACTCCAAGGCCAGAGCTCTATCTGCTGTGCCACCTAGCTGCCCCTCTTCTATGCATTCTTTAAAAAAATGATTCAATGATCTTCTATTTATTTTTTTCTATTTTTTGACAACCCTATCTTCCTTCCTAACTGAAAAGAAAACCCTAGTAGCAAATTTGCATAACCAAGTAAAATAAATTCCATATTGGCCATGTCCAAAAATTCATGTCTATTCTTCACCCTGAGTCCATCACCATTCTTCATTTTGTTGTTGTTGTTGTTGAATCGTTTCAGTCGTGTCTAACTCTTCATAAGTCCATTTAGAAGTTAAGATACTAGAGTAGTTTGCCATTTCCTTCTCCAGCTCATTTTACACATGAGGAAACTGAGGAAAGCAGGATTAAGTGACTTGCCCAGGGTCACACAGTAAGTGTCTGAGGCCAGATTTGAGCTTAGGTCTTCAGACTCCAGGTCTGGCACTCTCTGTAAACGTACTATTTCACTTGGTGAGCTCATAGCTTCTCTAGTTAAATTATCATCTCTATACAGATAGTGCCCAGATCTGTATCTCTAGCCCTAATCTCTTCTGAGCACCAGTCTCATTTTACCAACTGCCTTTTGGATATGTCAAATTGGATGTCCCTTAGGCATCTCAAATTCAACACTTTATCTTTCTCCTAAACCCTCTTCTCTTCCTAATTTTCCTGTAACTGTTGAGGATACTACCATTCTGCAGTCATACATGCTTACACCTTGGTGTCATCCTTAACTTTTCACTCACACTCTCCCCACACATCCAGTTTGTTGCCAGATCTTTTTGGTTTTTTTACGTTCACAGCATATCTTGTATACGTTCCCTTCTGTGCACTCACACAGCCACTATGGTTGTACAGGCCCTCATAGTCTCATGCCTGGTCTATTGCAGTAGCCTTCTGAGTGGTTTCCCAGCTTTCCATCTTTCCCGACCCCCATCCATTCTTTACTCAGCTGCCAAAGTGATTTTCCTGGATCACAGGTCTGACCGCATCACCCCTTACTCAAGCTCAACTGGCTCCCTGTTGTCGGAAGGATCAAATAGAGAAAGCTGTGCCTGGCATTTAAAGCCCTTCACAACCTACCCCCTTCTCCCTTTCTGGTCTTCTACTTTACCCCTCTCTGTGCTCTGGCCACATGGGCCTGCTTGCTGTTCTTCCCACACTGTACTCCCATCTCTCGACTACACCTTTTCATGACCCAACTCCCACACCAGGAATGCTCTCCTTCCTCTCCTCCACCTCCTCATTTCCTTGGCTTTTTTCAAGACTCCATTCAAATCCTAGCTTATGCAAGAGGCCTTTCCCAATCCCCTGCCTCCCCCCAATTATAGTGCCTTCCCTCTGTGCTTACCTCCCACTTATACTGTATGTTTTTTCTATGACATAGTCTTTTGCGTGTGGTCTCACCCATTAGAATGGGAGCTTCTCAAGGGCAGGGACCATGTTTTTTGCCTTTCTTTGTATCCCCAGCCTCTACTACAGTAGCTAACATATAGTAGGTGCTTAATAAATGCTTGTTGGCTGACTGACAATGAGTGCCCACCATGCACCAGCACTGCTGTGTTAATGCTAGAGGTAACAGAGACAAAAGAGTCTCTGGCATTGAGGAACTTCTATTCTCTCAGGGAACTAATGTATGCGTAGGAAAGTATATACAAGATAAGAGTCAAAATAAAAGTAAGGTCATTTTTTAAAAAAATTTTTATTTTTATTTTATTTATTTATTTTTAAGGTCATTTTTTTGATGGGGAAAGCACTGGCCTTGGGAGTGGCAGAGGATTGGGAAAAAGCTGTATAGATGTGTGTATATGTAAGTGAGTGAGACAGACAGACAGACAGAAGGCCAGTTTGGCTGGATTGTAGAGTTCCATAAAAAGGGACTTCTATACAAGAAGGCTTAGTGAGGCTGATCCCAGGTCACCAGACACAGATATCATGAAGCTTCTCAGTCTCAGCTGGACCTGTCAGATTTTGGGTTCCCCCAGTGCAGCCTTTGAGAGCTTAGGGTTTTCTCCATACCATGAGGAGGCACATATATAGATATGCAATATCCCTATATTTCCATGGACCCATGACCTCTTGAGGTTATACCTTTCCCTTGTGACTTAGGATCTAAAACTATTCATACCTTCTTATCCTATGCAATTCTCCCCCATAAATCCTCCAGAGAATCCATCACGTGTCCTGAGGGGACATAGAGTAGAATGGAGTACATGTAGTAAATATATACTTACATGTGTCCCATACATGTATATATGTGGTAAAGGCATGCATGTATTACATACGTAAGTACTTCAGGATTCTGAAAGTTGAAAGGGATGTTAATAATAATAATAATT